TCAGGGGCTCTAACGTAAAAAATTGCCACTTTTCAACAGCCAATCAGGATCGAGATACCCTCACTCCGTCACTTGCAGGTGTCCCATTGACTAATTGTTTGTTTTGAGTTGTAAATCATTTTCTTGCAATTTCATCTTTTTCAAATTACCATTATACATTAGTTTCCAGTTTTGAAATAAGAATGAAGAGTAAATAGATATCTCGTTTAATTATTCCCACCCGTGTTTTTATTTGAATAAAAAGTATATTTTTTGGTAACTATTTATGTTCGTTTAAAGGTATTAAGACGTTCTTTTTCACAGAATAATTTTTTTCAAAAAATCAAAGTATTTTATTTAAATCTACAGGACAAAAAAGAAAATTTTTTTCTCTTTCATTGGTTCAGTTTTCATGTCACAAACTGATTGGGTAAATTACGGATTTGAAATATCTAAAATATTTCAGTAAAATTTCTTGCAACATGTGAAAATACTCATCTCAATACTGTCAGATGCATTTAAGCAATAAAGAACATTTTTTAAAAAATGTGTACGAGTTAATTTATTTAGGCTGCTTTCAAATTTCAAGCAAATGACTAAATTATTATGCAACATTATCGTGACCATTAAATTAGTAAAAAAAAGAATGCTTTTAAAACGTCTTAAAAAATGTAGGTTAATTTTATAAACTTTATTGTAATATTTATGTCATATGTTTTACAAATTTGTAAGATATAGATGGGGAACTTTTTATTAAAATGCTCATTTATCATATAAAAATTTAGAATTTTCAGAAATTTATATATAATTATGAAGTATTAAATTTTTTTGCATTTTCACCATTTACTAATACACTAGCTCGAAAACGCAGTCAGGTGTTCAAAATTCCTTGTATCAATAATCTCTGTAACAGCGCCACTTTAATAGATTGCAATTAAGTGATTACAGATATATACTGCTATATAATCAATGACTTGTAATCGCGATTGCATGCAAAAACACTTACAAGTAATCATTATCTCTTATTTCATATAGTCACAATGATTTGTAATCACTTCAGGAAATGATTACAGGAAAACAAGATTGCAAGTAATCAAAATGGTAATGATTATATGCAATCGTAATTACAAGTAATCAAAGTACACAGTTACAATATTAATTTCAATCATCAGATCTATGTATAGGATATGCAGATCTATGTATTGGATATGGATAGGATATGCAATTAAAGTATGTTCAGTACGCAAAATAAAAAACTGACCACTCTGAATAATTTTTGATTTAAAGCGATTCCCGAATCCGGAGTTTTGCCCAATAACAATAATACTTATTTTTAAATAAATAAGAGAACGTATGCACGAAATTTTAGTTTTACAGTAAAATTTGGGTTGGACATTTAAAAGGAGCATTTTTGGCCATTTCAATTTTTTTAAATACGTATTTTGAGCTGTGTTCATTTGGCTAAACATGCATTTTTTGTAGTTTTTTCAATACACAATTACATTTCAAGTTATAGGATAAAAAAGCTCACCAATGAGATTTTACAGTGACTTTTGTTTTTTTCAACATTAAAAGAACAATGCAATTATATCACAATGGAGTCCTCAAAATAGTTCAATGCATCAAAAAATCTTACTTTGAAACATAATGAATTAAGATTAAAGTGATAGAATGGAAGAAGTTTTAAAATATCAACTTTATGTGCGTGTGAAATTTATAAGAACATCGAGAAGCTTTAAAAATACTAAGGAAAAGTCTTCGATCAACATTTATTGTCACCGAAGAGAGCGAATGTTCATTAAAATACAAGTGCTGTATTAAAAGTGCTTAAATGTTTTGAAGAACCTTTACCTGTTTCCACTTCGGCTACTCGGCTGGCAGCCTTAAAATAATGTTTTTCTTCTCGCCTAATTGGGTCTTCCGCCGAACGACGACGTCTTCTTCTCAACTAAAAAATAAGAACTTATTAGTCTGGTTTCAATAAAAAATGTCTACATTCTTTAAAATAATGGTTACCTGAAGATCGAATGATGTCTGAGTACGTATGTAGAAAGTGGCGTCGTCTTCGGTCGCTCCTCGCTTCTTTCTCTTCTTCACTCCGTGGCTGGTGACCATAGAAAGAGTAGATATTCCTCCTGTAAACACATATACTGATAACCCAAAAACAATTTCAATTAAACACTATTATAGAGATTTCCTTCTCCTTAAAAATCGTAAACAAAATGTTTGGAATAGAAATTTATAATTGTTCTTCAGATAATGAGAGAAATAAAAGTGTGGACCTAAAATCTTAGTTAAGAAAGCAACTTACGGCAGACTGTCATTCTGCCATCGTTGAACATCTGCATTTGTTCGGATCTGAGGTCCATCCTTTCCTTGTCGTTGAGGGCATCGCTGGGTGCAAAACGGACGATGTCATCAGTTGTGACCATTTTGTTTACCACAATCACAGTTTTGTCAATCTCGGGTGGCTGACTGGTAGATGTTAAACCGGCCACATTGTAATTGGATTTCTTATTTCCAGAGATGCTAAAAAGAAGAAAGATTGATGTTTACAAGACCCTCCTAGATTTTTGAGAGCTATAAATGAGGCCTATGGGAAAAATATGATTGGTTTTACTCTCGAGGGTTTTTTATTACGACCAAAAATCTTAAGAAGGTAAAAAATACTCGATTGAAGTAAACATTTAGAAAGTCTTATACCGTATCTCATTATATGAATGGACTGTATTTTTTATGACCAAAATTTGAAGAAATACACTAAAAAAATACATTGCGAAAAATACTATAAAAATACTGTAAAAAAATACTATACGACATACTTTTTTATATTCTAGCATTAATTATAATTTTAATAAAGAATAAAAATAAATAATTAAGACCGATTAACATTTGATAGAAATAGCTTAAAATTCACATAACGATCGATTATTACACTTATATACAACAATCGATAAATTACATTTAATTAGTTAAGAAATATAAAACGAAATTCAACGAATCTCCAATCAGCATAAAATATCGAATATCTAAGTCATAAGATCCAGAGAAAGACTGTTTATGAGTCATGACAAGGAAAGTTGAAGCTATTTTCGAAGAAAGGGAGTCAAGCTCAACCACCGCAGTGCTCCCCCTCCGGCAAAATCTACATATATTTTGGGAATAAAACAAACACTCCGACCAGGTCTTGTAATTGTTTCTGGAGGAACTGCTAATTCAATGATTGGTAGCGTAACTGGAGTTGTCACATTTGGTGATTGCGCAATGTCTTTGAGAATGAAAACTGGTTTTTAATAGTCTGACACTAATGACTGTTTTTTTCCATGAATAACCAGACAAAGAGTCTTTTCTGAAAGCTCAACGACTTTGTAGAATCAATCATATATAGGTCTGAAGAAACATTTTTAAAGCTGTCTCTTCTCACAAAAACATGAGAACACAATCCAAAAATTGGATAGACAAACGCTTTCGTACGTGAATGTTAAGAAGTTGCATTCGGTTTCAGGTCTAACATGCAGGTTCTCAGTGTTTACAATAGCTCACGATTAACATTTCAATTTGAAGGTTCAAAGAACTCCGTTGGCAGTTGCAAGGGGGGTTTTATAGACGAGTTCAGTGCTTTTAGAGCATATCTGAAAACAAGGGGAAGAGATTCAGTCCGTTTTACATCAGAATAGCATTTCAGATCATCTCCAGAGACTCTGTGGAAGCACTAAGTCGCTAGAATGTGGCGTACGCACTCTGGTTGTTCCAGTCAGGGACCCCCATCAGGGGGAAGGTGGGCGCACGATGCGCCCACTTAAAGCTTAGGGGGAATTTTTACACTAAATAAAACGAATAGTTTTGGGGGGGGGGACTTAGACGAGATAATTTTTTTTAAGTACATAAATAAAAGAAGCAACTGGCCATTTTCAGGCATGAATAACTTGACTACAGGTGCTAACATGGAAGGGGGAAGTTAGCAAATTTTTTTTTGGGGGGGGGGTGAATGCGCCCAAGAGCTTGGNTGGGGGGGAGGGGGGCCACTGATTCCAGTCATTGAGATTAAATACTTTGCTCTTGAATTGAAGGTCTGTTGTGATGATGAAAAGTGGACCACATCTGGATAGTCATTAATTCGTGCGACAAAATGAGAATAGCTCTTGGCCATCGTGTGATTCTTTCGATGCCAATTAAGAGGTACTCGCATCCATCAGTAGGTCCAACAAGATCTATCTGGAGTCGATGTAATTGCTGACTTTGTCCTTCTGACAACTGATACAGGAGGGAGTAAATTCCAAAACATATAGATAGCCATACGAAACGTGAGAGGAGGAGTTTCTTCAATGCAAGAGCACCAAGGTGTGTTAAATTGTAAGAGACATGAAAAAAGTTTTTCGAAAATCTTATGGTACATAAAGACGTTCGTTGTTGCGGCTGATGTTGCAATATACTGAATGTGGGCCTTGCAATTTCATCAGCTGCAGCTGTTACATTGTATTTATCTCTACTTTTGCTGAGTAGTTTATCTTCATCATTTGTTTGGGAATCAGTGATGCCTGAGAAATCAAGTAATGGTAAACTAATGGAGCTTACGTGTGAAAGCGCTTCTGCTACGTTGTCAGAATTGGCCACATACCGTATATTAGTGCTGTATTGAGCAATAGATTGAAATATAGTTGTCGAAGCTGATGTGGTAAGCATGAATCTATTTTTTTTTTTAAATGCGTAAATTAAGATGACCGATTTTGGGCTGAAGCTCTATATATGTACGTTCATGTACGAAAACGAAGTGAACACAAGTTAGCAAATGGATTGACACCTTTTGAAATGTGGAATGGATACAAACCATCAGTTCGACATTTAAGAATATTTGGCTCTTTTGTGTTTGTTCACGTACCCAAAGTAAAACGCAACAAGTTGAACAAGACATCAAAACTAGGAATTTTAGTTGACCACGCAACAAGAACGAAGGGTTATAGGATCTATATTCCAGAAGAAAGAAGAGTGGTAGCAACTATTCATGCTAGTTTTGAGGAAGCGAAAAACTGAGTAGAGACATTATTTGGGAAGAATAAGAAGTGTGAATACGTAAGATATAAAGACAGCTACCAAGAGCAAGTGTTAGACAATAACGAAGAAACAGTTACAAAGAAACAGTTACAAAGAAAGAAGAAATGCTACCAATAAAAATCGAAGAGTGGAAAAGAGTTGAAGCATCAAGTAAATTAAGTTTATGAATAGATGTTTACTGTTACCCACCTTCAAGCAAAGAGAGACTTCGATCAACTATCGAAGAAGAACGATTTTGTGCCAAAAACAAATTAAAGTTCCAACCAGAACTATTTTCATTTAAGTCTAAAAGTCCAAAGCAAGAAGATAGCGAAGATTCATCGACTGATTGTGCAGTTCAAGATTTCAAAGTTATTCTCGAAGACGAAGTATACAACTTGGAATCGCCTAGAACGTACGTGGAAACCCAAGAATCAGCCGACGAGGATAAGCGGAATAAATCTATGGTAGATAAAATTCAGATGATGAAAAATCGTAAAGCATGGAATTTAGTTGAACCCCCAGAAAATGCCGAAATCATCGGAAGCAGATGGGTGTATATTGTGAAGCGAGATGGTAAAAACCAGATAAAGAAGTTCAAGTCCCGGCCCGTAGCTCAAGGATTTAAACAGGTGAAAGGAAAAGATTTTTCTGGCATTCTTTCACCTGTAGTAAATTTTTCAGTTATATGATTTCTATTCATTTTATTAGTAAGTGTTTTATGCTGGAACTGTGTAAAGTTAGACATTAAAAGTGCCTATTTATATGGAAATTTATTTGAAACTTTATATATGTCTCAACCAAAAGGATTTGAAGTTAAAGGTAAGAATATATGGTTTGTAAATTAAATAAAGCTATATATGGTTTAAAACAAAGTGGACGACGGTGGAATGTTGAGTTAGATAATACTTCTGGACAACTAGGTTTTGAAAAACTACTTTGGTGTAATTGTGTTTGTTTATAAATTAAAATCTAAAGTTATTCTTTTGGTATATGTCGATGACATCGTATTATTTGGGGAAGATCAAAACAAAATTGATGAAGTTGTTGATTTACTTAAAAGTAAATTAGGAATTCAGGATGTAGGCAAATTGAAATATTTGTTAGGTGTAAAATTTGAAACGGTAAATGATAGGGTTTATTTACATCAAGTAACTTATAATGAAAATTTAATGAAGAAATTTGAAGAATTACCTAAAACTTTTGTAAATTTGCCCTTAAAACCTAAAACCTGGAATTAAATTACCACCTAAAGTTAAAGAAGAAGAAATTTTTGAAACTGATTTCATGAAAAAATTCCCATATAGAACTCTGATTGGGTGTCTTTCTTTTATAGCTAATAGAAGTAGACCTGATATTGCATTTTCAGTTAATATTTTATCGCAATATTGTAATGGTTATTCTTATCAGCATTGGAATATAGTTCTTGATTTATTAAATTATGTGTTTAATACGAAATATTTAAAAATTAACTTGTCAAGTGTAAATCAAAATAACTTAGTAGCTTTTTCTGATGCTAATTGGGAATGCCATTTAACCAACAGATATTCATCAAGTGGGAATATATTATACTTTGCTGGTATACCGTTCACTTGGAAAACAAGTAAACAAAAGTGTGTAGCTCTTAGTTCTATGGAATCCGAATTTATCTCATTTATAGAATCTGTTAAAGAAATTATTTGGTTTTCAAGAGTTTTAAATGAATTGAATGTATTAGGAAATACAGAAGTACCAATTCAACTCTGTGAGAATAAAGCTGCAATTTATTATTCCAAAAATTCGATTGAAAATGTGAAAACTAAGCACATAGACGTAAGATATCAGTTTATTAGAAATATGTTAGAAGAAAACTTATTTAAATTGGAGTACATCTGTAGTAAAGACAACTTAGCAGATTTTCTCACGAAACCTTTAAATAAAGAAAAATTTCAGTATTTTATTGATAAAGTTTATAATGGATGTGGAAATAAATAATTTCAAGTTATAAACTTTAGTGTTTTAGTCTTTTGCAGATTCGTCCCCAGGATGGAATGGGAAGTGCAGAGAAGTCAAGAAATAATCAGTTAATCAATGTGACGTAAGACATCGTGTTCTATAAAAGAACGAACAATTTTTATTTCACAGGTGGATGAACAGCCCGCCCTTCTTTTGGGTCTTTGGCCGAAGGCCTGATATCCGTCATAGGATTAAGATTGTAGATGATGATGATGATTCTTTATATATTGGTTCAACATTACGATTTTTAGATTTAAGTTAAACATTTAAAGTATTAATAAATGCTGTGTTCCAGTTTACTTGTGTTTTCATCATTTTTAGCGTACTCTACTTTGCGAGTTAAACCCACTTGATTGCTTCATTGTGAACACACATCATACTATCTAACCATTACTTTATGGTTTATATGGAGCACAAGTTTTATGCTTAATTTTGTGCTTGATCTGACGAACTGAATAAGTAAGGACTGGTAGATTGTCGAAATCCTTTAGGGGCGTTATCACTGCGATCCACTCAAACATGTTTTTTTTTTTAATTAATAAGATGAAGAGCTCAAGGCAGTGAGATAAGTATTAGTAGTAATTTTTTTACGTCTCAATAGAACTCAACAATGAGCTATTGGCGACGTTCTGAAACATATCCTTCAGGATGATCTGAAGACATGCCATCACAAATCGGATCCTCTGTGGAGGGGATGACTCCCTTGCTTTTTTGCCCTACGTCCTGCGCGTGAAGTCAAGCACTTAATGATAGAACAGTTTAACGAGGACTGATACCACACACACTCGATTCCACCACCCACTGGCTGATCAAAGTGTTACCCACTCGCACACCGAATGCTGTTAGCGATGCTTGACTTCGGTGGTTATATGGGAACCATGTCTTAAAGATTAGTCTACTGCGGGGTACTTTAAAATTTGACAGCACCGAGAATCGATCCACGCATTTGGTGCTTCGTTCGACGTCCACCTGGAGAGTCTATACATACCTGATGTTGTAAGTGGAAGTGTGCTCTCCCATGACGCTCCTTTCCACCTCCCCCTGTCTATGGTGCAGAAGAAGTCGAGTGGCAAAAGCGTCTGCCAGGTGCCTCTTGAAGTTCTTCACTCTTCCGTCCTCCACTTCATTCTCAGAAAAACGAATCTCGGGAATGCTGCCGTTTGCCAACTGAACCAACTGGAACGGGACAGTGTACAGCTCGGCTGCCGACACTGAAATTCACATTGAAGTAAACATTTCTTAATTTTAGGAAGGATAAACAGGCAGAAGGAAGCAATAAACTTAATAGTATTGTCGTCTGTTTTACTTTTTGATGTAGAACTAAAATTAAATCTCACGGCAATCTTTGCTCAAAATTCAAGGAGAAACAGACGAGTGAAACCTTTTATACCGAATATCAACTTAACCATTCCAACACTCAAATTGTTTCCTTCTTTGAGATCAGTTTCCGTTAGTTTATCTAACGCAGTTCAAGATGTCTCTAACTAGAAGTTCATAGCCCATTGTGCAGCTCTAGTGCGACGTAAATGGACTACAACAACAACTAACTAGAAGTTCATCGAAGAATGATTTGGGTATTCCCTTGGTTATCTTAGATTCAATTATAAATAAATATAACCCACTACATCTAAAAATCTAGGCAGGTCAGATCGAGTGGCAGAAAGACGGTTCCACAGAGCTCAATTCATTGCAGAAAGAGAAAGTCGGGGTAGTTTCACAAAGCAGATGGTCTCATGCAGTTCACTCATTACTCCCTTTTTTAGGATAAAATATGATTGTTTTCATGATTTCCACATGTTTAGAAAAAATTTTCAGTAGCCCGTTAGAGTTAAGACAATGGAGTGTATGCGCATAAGAGAAAAATTCAATCTTTCAACAATCAAGAGAGATCGCCTTCACTTCTCAATAAATTTCTTGTACCATCGTTTCTGTTTGATCAAGTATTGATTTGAATATGTTAAAACAGTGCATTTTAAAAACTTTACATCAAACGAAAAAAAGTTTCAGTACACTTCATTACCAAATAAAAAGAAATATTTACTTGAACTCGAATGAATTTTACACCAGACCTATAATTTAATCAGAGAAGAAGGAAAACTAACGGTAAAACAATTCATTTTTAGCATGTTTTCAGGAAAAGTATTCGTGACCACCGTTACGTTTAAAATTTATTTGAGCTGAAATTTTTCGAAAACTAAAGTGAGGGCAAAAATTTTAAATCTTAGTTATAAACAATCTACCACTATATACTTTTTTACTAAGTGCAAAATATAAATATTCCTGCAACAGTGGGCAAAGAGGTCTTCATAACTTCGTCTATTGTATAATTGTGATAATGTAGTCAGCTTTAAGCACATTTCTAGACGAGCTGTTACGCATCAACCTGAGCTGATTTTAAGCCACCAGTAGGGATCGAAACCAATTTTATTGATAGTTCAATGCCTGGCAAGAAACTTCTGATAACAGTTAAAATTATTTACTTCTTTTTAAAATAAGATGGAAAGGAAATACTATCCAAAAGAAATTTGGATCCGTAAGCAGAATTTTATCATTAAGATGGATCCTTCATACTATTTTTCATTGTAAGTACAGAGCCAACTTCTTCTTTTGAAAAAGTGAGGTCGATGGTGTCTTTAATTCATAAACTTCTTCAAAAATGCATTGCCCTCCCCCCTCCCTAAAAAAGCAGAACCTTATTTTGTCATAAAAACTCCGAATAGAGTACTGGTGAATTTTCTCAAGAACCTATCTTCACAAATTCATCAAATTATGAGTACATTTTTTACAAGCTTACAAAGGAGAAATTTTTTGCAAAAATTCTAGAACAACGCCAGCTGTTAGATTTTTTTATTTAGCCGGTACCCTATATTCCTTCTGCCCTCTCAAGAATTGAAGCGGTCAATATTAAAAGGGGTTATGTAATATTTTTACAAAAATAAGTTTTTTTTATGATTTTGAAATATCAATCACTGATTATCAAATACCGAGTCATTTTCTAGACTGCCTAAAGAAGAGAATCCAACAATTAGGAAGCAATTAAAACCATCTTTCCACAATTGACACAGCTCTTTTGACTTTTCTCGAAAGTGCTGATTTGTTACATACTCCCTTTAACATAGACTGCTTCAATTATGAAAAGGACCCTGAAAGAAGTTTTAAATTTTTTTTCTCTGGTAGCAAAATAAAATAGTAACTGTTCTAAAATATCTTCATTTGTCCAACTTTTAAAATCTTTATAAAGTCTTCCATATCTAAGTTTGAATTATATATGCATGTAATGGTGGTTAAAATCACTTGAACTCGAACAAATAAACATTAAACCAAGGATCATACACTAAATCATAACTTTTATAACTACTAAGAAGAATTTTCTTTCAAAAAATCGAAGAAAAGAAAAAACAGCCAAAAACTATGAATTTACTTCTATTTTTAATTGTTCACACATTGGCTGTTGTATATGTGTTGGCTATATTATTGTGTTCATCTTGATCATCGAAAAGGCTACTTCGACCAGAGATCGCTCGTTGATGGAAAACGCGGGCTCACATTTGCCTCAATCCTCCATACCCATGAAAGAAGTTCTATTGTGTAACAATTGTTTCTGACTAAAGTAGAAAAACTCAGTTTATTTAAAGAGGTGTGGAAAGTGGTTTACTTTAAATCCACTGACGGTTCTGCACGTAAAAAGTCGTCATTTAACCAGCAGTCTTCTCCGCACAGCAAAACCATGTTTTGAGATAGGAAATCAATAATGTATTGGGGAAAAACATTCTCCCAATTTTACCCATTTGCTAAACCGCCAGTGGGTTTAATGTTCATTAAGATGGAGGCAACTATCTGCTTTGTGCTACGAGGCCGGTAAGCAGTTCATTTTGCTGCGTTACAAAATAGAAAAATAATTGTGTTAGCTCTATTTGAATAAATACACAGCTACCTCTCACTTATGCACCACCTCTTTTCGGAGCCTTTTTCATTTATACGATGATTAACTCAGTTCCCTATTCACTATATAGCAAAATAATGATGTTTATAGAAACGATTTATCGATTCATGATATTTATAATAATTGTAAATAGCTATGCACCGGAAGTTTTCTTAGAATAGCGAAAATGTAATTTTTTTCCTTCAAGGAGAAAAAAAATCAGACTTTTTTGAGGAAAGTTTTTAGGTTAAAAATTGAAGTAAATAAGCAATCCTTGTTACAGATAAATAGAAATATGATTCAGTGCAAATAGGTCTTCCCTTAATGACCTTTTACACCTTTGTTGCTTCCAGAAGTATATTCTTTATGCAATTTTGAATAGGGTGTCTTTTCTGATACACATTGAAAAATCTATCCTTAAAGGAAAGAACTCGTGTCCTGAAGTGACGAGGAGAGCCCAAAGAGAAGAACTTCCACCCCCCCTTCTTTTTTTCTGAACGAGCCAAAATCTGTCTTAAATACTGACTCAGCCATTTTATTCGAAATAGTTAAACCTCGTAACCACAGTAACCGCCACTGCTCGGGACGAATGGCGAGGGGAGTTTTTTCATTAGTCAGACTATAGCGACTATAATTAAACAACTTATTATGCAGCATGATATGACGCCCGAGACTTTCTTTACACTTTTTTTTAAAAAATTTATCATTCGTCCTTTATCCCCCCTCCCATAGAACATTTCAATTATAGCGAACTCAAACTTGTACAGCATTCAATATTTGCTTCAAAACAAAAGGTAAAAAAAGGAAGGAAGAAAACCAAATTGAGCTTATCTTTACAAGTGACAAAATTAAGAAATTTGAAGAAAATCCATTAACCACTTAAAAGCTTTAGCTGGTTGTTTTAAAATTCTTGAATCAACTTTAAATAATAGGTATTTTAAAAAAAATGTAATCGCAACTGCTCAGTGAGAAAGCGGCACTAAGATAAAGCGAATTCAAAGAGGAAAGTTTAAAGAATTACACCAGCTACAAAGGTTTGAGAAAGCTAATGTTCCGGTTAATATTGCAAGAAATCATGCATAAAAATCTCGCAGAGACTGAAATTTATTCTACATCACATGGATGGGTGGAGAAATTGAAGATTCGGGTCTGTTTAAAAACTCTGAAAAAAGTGCAAGTGGGGACGAAAAAAGCAACGGAAAGAGGAATTAAAAGCTTTTATTTAAGGATGAAAACCAAAGGACCTTTTCAATTGGGTGCTTGCACTTCAAGAAGAAGAAAACCATATATACCCACACATGTGACCTGATACTTGACAGGCTCGGCTTACAAGAAATTAAATCGAAAGAACAGTTGCTAACGTAAACAAATGCCGCATTTCAACAACCCATGAGGATCGAGATACCCACACTACGTCCTTTCTTGGTGTCCCATTGTGATGAAACCTGTTTTTTTCCCTTCAAGATAATACAAAAAACATGTTGCTTAATCCCCCCTCCCTAAACGCCAATATTCTTTTCCACACTGCCACAATTAAAAAAAAAAGACAGTAAAGAAAGATAAACTGTTTTGTCATATGTTGTAATGCAGATAGAGAGTAGTAAAAGCCTCGGTGTTCAAAAACAGCAAGCCGCTTCTGTATAAGTCATCGAGCAACAGTGATGAATACCAAAATTTTCTTACCCTTTCTTCGGGCATTTGAGAAAAAATAGAAACAGAAAATAGAAAGTGCTCCTATTTATGGATCAATGTTCAGCGCATCTACGAGATTAACACTAACCATATAAAAGTATTGTTTTTTCCTGGTACAGTGTACGATAAAGTACAACCTTTAGATTTATGCAAAATCCGTGGCTTAAAAGTGCACTACAGGAAATATTTGATCTTGCCGAAATAGAAACAGGCAAGTATGCTGAAACAGATGTTAAAATTTCGTTCTTATTGCAATAAATATGGCATATGGGCTGCATGTAGAAGTAGATATTTCATTTTTTCATTTTATAACCATCGTTGAATAGCCAACCCAATTTTGGGTTTACGACTACAAATGTTCAACTCCGTAAACCTTGTGATTTTGAACCTAATCCAGAAGACAAGGGAGCTCCTGGATTAAATAATGGGAGAAATTGTATCTTCGTAGAGGACTTTTTGATGAAACTAACTTGCATTTGCATTACATGGAGAGGAAAACCACGAAAACCTCCCACGATAAGCTTAACGGGAAGGGAACTTTATCTCATTATCCACTGAAGATATTTTACGTCAGCACTTATGATGATGCACAAATGATGATGATTTGACAACAATAGAATTAAACTAATAAAATGACTGATGATAATGTAGTTGATGATAATGACGAAGATGATGAAATTCGTTTGTCCGAATCATGCGAAAGCATTAGAAGCTTTAAAAACTATTCGTGATTATTTGCAGATTAATTCACCTACTGAAATTCCCTTTTCTTATTTGTGTGTACATGAAAAGACTGTTTTGAAAATTCGTCGAAAAAATATCTTTTATGCTTTAATTTGCAGGAAAATAAATTATTATATGGTATGTTACTCTTTTTTTCTTTTGTTTTAAGGTTGACTTAAAACAATCCTTCAAACTTCATTCACTCTTTAAAATATTAATTTAACTTAATAATCCGTACATTTAAACTTTGCATGCATACTTCCCTCTTTGATAATCGCATTGCAGTCTTTTCTTCGAATAAAAAATTGTATGCAAAAGGATATATTTATTAGTTATTTCGCATAAGAAAAGGAATAGCATTGATTAAGTGAAAATTAAGGTCTTTCTTATTAGTAACACTCACCTTCGTCTGGTTCATCGTCTGTAATGATATCGTCTCCTGATGAAGAAGCGCGATTCGTCTCCACATCTTCATGACATCGCCCGAGTAATCTGTTGAACAGGTTTTTTACTTTCTTCCAGGAATTAGAGAAGAAATCTCTTGCTCCCCTCTTTCTCCTCTTTCTGCCAAAAATACAGTTTTTAAAAATATCACAAAAAATTGCACCACAAATTTAATTGCAGTGTAGTGCGTAAAAAACAATATAATATAATATAATATAATATAATATAATATAATATGATAT